ATTGATGAAGTATTATACCAAAGATTCTAAGCTGATAAGGAAAGTGAATTGTAGAAGTTGACTGAGACAGAGAAAGTACACGGGACAAAAGAACTCAGAAATGGTCTTAAAAAGAATAAGAAAGAAAACAGGAGCAGAGAATGTGTAAATGAGACAATTATAGTTGCATTTCTCAGAATATCCCTCTGTTAATGTTTCCCATTAGACTCCAGCTCTGTTTTCAATTTTAAAATGTAGTAGAATATATTTATCTCCATTAAGAAAGTTTTCACAAAATGTTTATAAAGCAAAATTTTTATTTATGCTCTTGTAACAGTATATAACATTTAAAATATATTGATCTTTGTTTAATTCCTATTCTTATCATCTACATCTGAGAAGTGAAAAAAGAACCAAATGATTAAAAAATGTTTGTTTTAAATTCAACAATGTCCCCTCATCTCTTATTTCCCACTCTCACTTCTTTGGCCATAGAGGATAAAAATTCTGTTGTTTTCTTCATGTTTAAGCATTATCTATTGACCACCCACTGTGGATGAGAATTTGCTCTTTTATCCCTTCTTAATTGCCAGCACACACATGTGCCCTTTTCATACTTCCATACTTGCTAAATATTGTAAATTAGATTAGATCGTCTTGCAGTATTTACATTAACTCATATTATTACCATGACTACATAGGATCTCTATTCACCATCATCTGGGGAAAATATCCTTTGTCTCTCTTTTTGTATTGTGTCTCTTGCTTCTTGTCTCCCACGATTTCTTCCTCTCTTGGTTTATTCTCATTGTGGGAGATCATAGCCTATGATAACTTCCTGAAAAAATACACATGGGATTATGGGAGCTTTTCTTACATGATGATATTTTTTTCTAGGCAAAGAATACTCTATTGGAAATAATTTCTCTACAGTTTTGAAGACATTGGCTCACTATTTTCTAGTTTCAGATTTTGTTATTCGAAAGGCCCAAGAAATTCTAATAGCCTGATTCCTGTGGAAATCTAAATCCTCTCCTCTCTCTAGCCCCTGTGGAAGCTTGTAAAAAGATCCTTAGTTCTCTGAAACTTTATAGTGATTTAGCTTTGTATGATTTATTTTAGCCATGTGTGTAGGTAATTAGCAAGGCCTTTCAATATGATAATTAAAGTTCCTTAGTTCGTGAAACTTTTGAATTGTTTCATAAATTATTTTCTCCATTTGCTTTGCTCTTGTCATTCTTTCTAAAGCCTCTTGTATTTAGATGTTGAACTTTTTGAATTATTTGTTTAATTTTGTAACATTTTCTCATATATTTTTCCATGTATGATTTTTTTCAGCTGTACTTCATGGGATTTTTTAAATTAAGTTTTTAGCATTCTATGAGTTTTCCTTTCTGTTATCACTTTTTTACAAATAATTCAAAAGCTCCTTTGGATCACTGAGTGTTCTTTATACACACACACACCCACACACACACATACTACACATTTATATATAATTACCTGTATTCTGAAATTTCTTTGTATATATGTGTTCTTGCTTCATGGATGCAATATATTCTCTTATCTAAAGATATTAATAGTTTATTTGAAAACATTGTTAGATTTGCATAATTTATTTTATGTTGCTTTTGTTTCAAGTGTGTGTTTGTGTGTGTGTGCACCCTTGTCTCTGTAAATTTTATACTAGGAATTTCTCAGATATTGTTTTTCACTTATTTTGGTCTTTGATTTTTTATTATAGGCTTTCTTGAGATAGTGAATAATCCATAAATTTCTACTCATATTGTAGTGTGGAACACTGAAAAGATAATTGGAATCCCATGGACTTGCTGACTGAATTTCGCTATTGAGTGCTCTGCCTGAGCTTTTCTTTCAGTAGATATAAGATGCCCATCACTTTGTGCCTTTTCTTTGTAAGTCTAATTCACTAGAGAAGGTGTGTCAAGGTTCTTGCTAGCATTCTGTAAGCCGACTGGCAAAAGGAGGGTTCAGGAGCCTCAGGAATTGATATGCAAATATCCACTTAACCCCACCTTCTCCTCCCTCATTTTCAGTAGATTATCCCCATCCACAACTATGCCTAATTTCTTCTACTCCGGGGACTCTGCTTTTTGCCCTCTGGAGAGAACAAACCTCCAGAGTTCTGCTGAAGTAAAGAAGGATTTGTTTCTTGGCTAATGGAACTGAGGGTGGGGACTGGATCAGAGATATGCAAAGCCCATTAGGATCTCCTTGGTTTCAACTAAACATTCAGCTTCATAACACTGCAGTAGGCCAAACTGGGACCAAGCTACTCAGAGTTATATAAGCGGGAAACACAGCTTGGCAGGAGGGCTACATCAGGTGTTCTTTCAAAAAGAGTCCTTCCAGCAGCCCACATGGCAGTTCACATCCAGTAGCCATTTGTTATTCCAGATCACAACTGGAGGGCTAGGAGGTAAGTTCGTGTTAGGAGGTGCAAGAGTCACTTTGGCTTAAAATACTCATGACCCATAGCATAGCTTCCAGAGTTACATGAAAAATTTACCAGCCATTACACTCAGAATAGCTCAAAGCTACATCCAATCCAGATGTAGTTTATCAGGAGTCATTGCATTCTAAGCAATGTTGCCTGATAACATAGTTAATATACTATTTTTACAAAGGTTCCAGAGGATCAGAGTTAGAGAATTAAATAAAGTTTAAATTCTGAGGCTCAAAGGAATAGCTTTTATTAAGCCTTTATCCACACAATCGAATTGCTTCTTATACTTCTTTATTTTTTAATGAAACAAGAAGGAAAAGAGAAAGTATGAATGAAAATGTGGGGATAGAGGTAAATTAACATAGTGTGAAGATAAGGACATTTCTGTCTATTTCTTCATTTTCCAGGAAATATGAGATAAGAACACCATGATAGGGAAAGGGTGGATAAGAAGGTGGATCATTTGTGGGAAGAGGAAGTATGAAGTAGCATTTTGGTAAAGTACATAAGAGGACCCTAATTCTCCCAAAATATATTATGGTCAGTAATATTTTATTTAAGTGTATTAACAGATGAAATGCAATAATATGTATAATGGTCTGAACACAATAGAAGTCAATTTTATGCTCATATAATTATATTAGGCAGGAAGACAAGGTGGAGGCAGGACCCTACTCCATGTCACCAAGCTGGGACTCAGACTGGCAGAGCCACTGCCATCTTCAAAACTTAACTTCCAAAATTACGGGGTCTTCTTTATTTTGCCAGAATGGAAGAATGCAAATGAGAGTTTTGTTTGAGTTAGGCCTGGAATGGCAGCTGTCCCTGCAAATGAACACACCTAATTGCAAGCATGACCGAGAAATGTCCAGCTATATGCCCAAGAAATGTCCAGCTATATGCCCACTATAAAGGAGAGCATGGATTTTGTTATACAGTTAGTGAGCATTTAGATTTTTTAAGTATTTGTATTGAATGCATAAAAATATCCATGTTAGAATCAAAGGATATATGATAGTTGTTTTTAAAGACAACTTTATGTTTCAAGATTATTTGAAACATCTGATTTCTTAAAGCTATTATGTCAATAAAATGCTGTTTAATCATTTAATAGCAATGATTTCAAATGCATGACCTTAAGAGTTATTATTATCTCATTTTAGTAGAGTTTTACATGTATATAAAAATATATAGTGTTCTGTTAAAAACCATTCCACTAGATTTTCCAAAACTGCCCATTGATCAATTACCTTCACCATAAACGAAGAAGTCATCTTTAATTAAAAAAAAATAAATAATGGCTTAGTTTTTATCTCCATGTCTTATTTTCATAAATATTTATTTTTAAAAATTCAGGTACCCCCATATTTTGCTCAACTGTACATGGCACCAATTTACTATGTTACAGTGGATATGTCTTTTTATAAGCTCAAAAGAGGCCAAATATGGAAGTAGGAATATCTGATTTATTGAAATCCTTCTGTTACTCTTTCTGATATTAACTGAGCTCTTCTTTTTGGTTGTCTTACATTTCTTAATGTAATATGGGAAATACAGGGGAGCTGAATATGTATTTTCATCTAAAAATATGCTTTAAGACATTAACAAATTAACTGAAGGATACATCCTTTTAACTTATAATTAAGATTAAATATTAAAATAGGTATTATCCCCTTAGTTCATACATATGAATTGTCAGTAATATTATCCCAGTTTTATATACTTCTGAAATGCCTTTTGTTTTACTGATGGTGGTCTAAAACATATCTATATTTTTTCTTTTTGAAAATGCAACTTCACAAAAAAGAGAGAAAAAAAATGGGTAAACCCACCATTTGACAGCCGGTTTCTATTCATTCACATCTTTCTGTAACATTATCCTTTTGATCTATTGGGTTCCAGGAAAAGATGAAAGTTTCATGGTACCTGAGCCACACTTGCATTACTGTTTTTCAGTTACAGAGGGATGAAAGGAAAATGCTGTCCCTACTCTTTGATTATTTTTGCATATGTGTACCTTAGAAAGTGACTGTAAAAACTGAAACTATCCATCAGTCTAGTTTGCAAAATGAAAGCTTCTCACAGCCAATGTGGAAGAATAAACATCCAAGTTCTGAGGTTTGAAAAATTACTCCCAGGCTAATTCTGTAGGATTTAAAACATTTAAACTTGCCTACATCAATGATAGTCTTTCCATTACTAAGGAGATTCACATGTGCTACATAATTATTTCATATCTACCCAGAAGTGGAATCTTTGGAAGCTCCTTCTTTTATTCTCCATTGGAGAAATAATCATGAACCAAGCAACCAAATCACCTCTCAGTTTCAACACCACTGTTTTGTACAATATCGGTGTGTCTGTAATCCTCAACTTCAGGAAAAAAGATAAAATTACAAAGGAGAGCAAGTCTGGATATATTGTTTAGACATATTTCCTACAGTTAAGAAAAAAACAACAATATACATTTGCTAAGAACCTAAAAACTATCAGGAAATATATTTCTAGCCAGAGGTTACAACACAACATATTCACATATGTAATTTTATTTCAGGAAATGGAAGAAAACTTGTTGTGATGCTGATTTAGCATTCTAAGCCCTATGAACACAAAGACTGGTAAGATGTCTCATTGCTAAATGATGCTTTTTCAGAAATTAATGCTGAAAGTAATATTAATTAAAGAATTAAAATTGTAGACTATCTTCTAAAAAGTCCCTCCTTTTATCAATAACTGAAGTAAAACAAACGGATATTATGCATTGATGGAGATGAAAATCAAAGGTTTTCTTTCAGTATAATAATCAAAATTACCTGATGCAAGGTGATATGTCGTGTTCTATATCAGGCTGGGTTTACGATATCACACCTTGACAGGCATATAATCTGAACATTACTTCTCTGAAAGTGTGAGCAGACTGGCAGAAGACCTAGATTTTTGCTCATTTTCTTTTGGGTGAGAGTTGCATGCTTATATATTGTAGAAATGATATACTTCTAAAACACTGTTCCCTTAAAATGTAGTGTTGTGTGATATCCCCAATCCTATGATTATCTTTGATCTTGGATAAATGATAAATGAACATGACAAAGGAGCTCTTGGGGATTATATACAATTCAAAGTAATCTAGGCACATACGATCTAAGGAAACAAATTTTTTTTTTAAATCTGCTTAGTCCTTATCCCACTTCTTTCTTTATGCATCAATTTGTCAAGATTTTTTTAAGCATATACTTTTTTCCCTCTTCTGGGCAATTTTCCTTTCCTCATGGAGCTTAGAAACAAGTAGTAGGAGATTCATAGAAAACAAACAAAAAATAAGTGAATTTCAAAAGTGATATTACCAGCGAAGAATATATAAGAATACGATTGTGGGCCGGGCTCAGTGGCTCACGCCTGTAATTTCAGCACTTTGGGAGGCCGACGCGGGTGGTTCACGAGGTCAAGAGATTGAGGCCATCCTGGTCAACATGGTGAAACCCCGTCTCTTCTAAAAATACAAAAAATTAGCTGGGCATGGTGGTGCGTGCCTGTAATCCCAGCTACTCAGGAGGCTGAGGCAGGAGAATTGCCTGAACCCAGGAGGCGGAGGTTGCGGTGAGCCGAGATCGCGCCATTGCACTCCAGCCTGGGTAACAAGAGCGAAACTCCATCTCAAAAAATATATATATATATATATATAATATATATATATATATATATATATATATGATCGTGTTTGGGAGGGATCATATTTCACAAAACGACCAAGGAAGGACTCTTTAAGGAGGAGAGTTGAAAGACAATCTAAAAGATAAGAAGAAGAATCTAACCATGAGCAACTTAGTAGAAGAATGTTTCCAAACAGAGGGTTAAGCAGGTACACAATGATGGAAAAATCAGAGCCTGTATTGTTGAGGGGGGGAAATAGAGTCCATGTAAATAGACCACAAGGAATGAGGATAAATAAGATTAGTATGTAACAAAACGGAAAAGTTGGCAGGGTAGATTATGAAGCACTTATGGGCTATAATAAGAAGTATAGATTTATTGCACTTCAAAGTTAAAAGAAACAAAAAAGTACAACACAAACTGTCCGTTAAGGCAAAAATAATATTAATGTTCTTTATTTCCTTAGTTCTTATCAGAGTGTGTGATAGGTAGTAGACAATCAGTAGGTATGTGTTTCGGTAAACATATAAAATTTGTTGGTAGGAAATGACTGATATTGTTAGTATGAGCAGTGTGTTTTTAAGAACCTCACATTTTCATTTCATATCCAATTCTTTAATAATACGCATATGAAGAACGATGTGAGCAGGGGTGGGGAGCACACACAAGACAAATGTTTAGTGCATTTCTGTTGGGGAGTCTCCAAAGTATCTACTTCACGATAAAATAAAAGCTTTTAATTTGAGAACGAAACTTTTAAAATGTAGCCCAGACTGGACCACCCCAAACTGCCTGGGATTTCCTGGCAGGGTTCATTTGCATGTATTTTTCAACATTTAAGTAAACTTTCCTTTCTTTCATTATAATTTTAACATTTTTTTAAAGATATCACCAGAAAGGATTCTGTGATGAAGAGCATTACAACACTCAGAAGGGCATCCACATATGCACGACAAAGATTTCAAACTGAATGGACAACTTTCAACAATACATCTGTATTATTATAGCATCGCTCTGGGATAGTCTTGATTCCTGATGTATACAATTATAGGGGCCTAAACAAACCTCAAATATTTAGCATGTCCCTGGCCTGTACAACCATTACCTAGACTTAGCTTTGGCTGAGGAGGAAAGTACTTTACCGCAGCACTCCTGCTTTAATTTTGTAATCTCTTTCAGAGTCAAATTTACCATGATCCTTCAAAATACAGAGTAGACTTTGAGTGCAAAGTAAAATGCCTGCTTTGTATGTCCAGTAAGCTCCATGGTTCAAACCCACTCATGCTTTTTTTTCTTTGCTGAATCATATTTGCTTTTGAAGAAATGAAGTGTCACCATACAAATTATAACTCTAGAGTACATTGGACATATGGGGAATGCAATGACTTTCAGGCACCTTTGATGCCATGGGGCACATTCAGGTCGTTTAGCAATTGACTGATTGCTTCCACCAACTGATATTTAAGCAGCTTGAGGGTTAATATAGAGATCCATGGTTGCAATACTAAAAGGAAAAAAGTGTTTGACTATATCTGAGTCATATATTCTCATTACTCTTAGAAAAAAGGATTTACATATGACAGATCTTTTCCGTTGCACACTATAAAAGAAGAAAATGTTTTGTTCATTCTGGCAGAAACAATATTTTCCCTTTAGATTTATTTTTAAAATAATTTGCTGATTGAAGTCACACAGGTAAATCATTTTTTTTTTTTAACAGAAGTAATGACATTCCCAGGCCAGCAGACTTCAGTTCAAAATGTTAAACCAGGCACCGTCTGGAATATTCATTTTCAAACTTGATGCCAATGGGATCAAACCCTGGCATGCTCAACCTACATTTAACATTCTTTTAAAATAGAACTGGCAAATCAAAACCCCTTTAGATTCCTGACCTTTGCTCAGAGATATAATGACAAGCCTGAGATAGACTTTACTATTTAATACACAAAGCATCAACACCTGGCTGCATGGGGACCATAGAATGGAAGAAGGTGATATTTAATTATTAGAAAAGTCACAAAACTGTCTGGAAACAAAGTCTTTGAATTAAATGTATATTGGAGAGCTTAGAAATGTCACTTAAATGTTCCTAGTCAAAATTATCCTGCTTATTAATCTCACTGAGACATTATCTTGCATGAGTTATTTCACTATTCAATGTGCTGAGAGTTTTGGTTTCTTAATTGCATCGTAAGTTCTGTAAGGATAAGGGAAGGTCCACCCATGATATTATTTCTTATATAGCCTCCATCTTGTTTTTAGTAGTTCAGTGATTTTAAGTGCCTTCTGTTTTCCAAGCAGCAATACTGAAGGTTGCAAATATTAATATTAGTGTTCCCTGCTCTTGAGAACTTCAATCTAATGGAAAAGACAGCTATGAAAACAATTAATTATAATGTATTGGGAAAAGTAGTATACTATAGGCATATAACGAATGTTATAGGACAAGAAAGGGAACAACCACATTGGCCTGGGGAGTTAGAGAAAGCTTCTCAGAGATTACTTGGGACTTGGCCTTGAAAGCAAGTGGGATTTAAACCACAGTAAGAAGAGGAATACCATTTTAGGCAATGGCAAAGGCCTGAAAGCCCACAGGGCAGTGTAGAAACATTAGTCCTTTTCCTATTTAGCTTTTGCTGGAAGAAAACACCTTCCCTAGAAATGTTGCTATAATTACATGATTTCTGTAAGAGTAATAGGAACATAATAGGAATGTAAATTCTGAGCAATATAATATGGCAGAAGTATGTGGTTTAAGGCAAGTAATTTGAAGCCAGACTGCCTGAGTACAGATTCCAGCCTGAACACATGAATGGTATATTACTTTTAGCAAGTTACATAAGTGTTATAAACTTCAATGTCGTGGCCTGTAAATTAAGGATGATATTAGTAACTACCTCACATAAGTTATTATCCAGATTAAATAATTATTTTAAAATTACTGGAAAAGTGATGGATTTGTGAAAACTTTTTATAAAAATTAGCTACAAATGTTTGAATTAATTGCTTTTTAATAGCTTTATATATGTTAAAATTCACCCATTTAACGTATATAAGTCAATGAGTTTTAGTAAATTCATAGGGTTTTGTAACCATCACCTCAACCTAATGTTAGGACTATTTTTCCCTAATACATATCAAAAAGAAACCTCATACATATTAGAATTCAATCCTTATTTCCACCCAATCTACTTCTCGGGTCTAACTAAACAATAATCTTTCTGTCTCTACTGATTTGCCTATTATGAACATTTCATATAAATGTAAGTATATATATTTGTTCTTTGTGTCTGACTTCTTTCACTTAGCACAATGTTTTCAAGGTTTGTCCATGTTGTGGCATGTGACAGAACTTCATTCACTTTTATGGCTAAATACTAGACTGTATGAATATGCTACATTGAATTTATTTATTTTTCTGTTGGTGAATATTTTAATGTGCAATTTGGCTATTATAAAAAATAATACGGCCAGGCGCGGTGGCTCAAGCCTGTAATCCCAGCACTTTGGGAGGCCGAGGCCGGTGGATCACGAGGTCAAGAGATTGAGACCATCCTGGTCAACATGGTGAAACCCTGTCTCTACTAAAAATACAAAAAATTAGCTGAGCATGGTGGCAGGTGCCTGTAATCCCAGGTACTCAGGAGGCTGAGGCAGGAGAATTGCTTGAACCCAGGAGGCGGAGGTTGAGGTGAGCTGAGATCAGGCCATTGCACTCCAGCCTGGGTAACAAGAGAGGAAGTCCATCTCAAAAAAATAATAATAATAATATGAGAATTTTTTATGAGGATGTGTAAGTTTTTGTATGGATATATGTTTTTGTGTATCTTGGCCATATACATACTGCAATTGCTAGGTTTTATAGTAACCATACCTTTTTTTTTTTTTTTTTTTGAGACAGAGTCTTGCCCTGTCACCCAGGCTGGAGTGCAATGGCATACTTAGTGCAACCTCCACTTCCTGGGTTCAAACGATTCTCCTGCCTCAGCCTCCTGAGTAGCTGGGATTCCAGGTGCCCATCACCACGCCCAGTGAATTTTTATATTTTTAGTAGATACAGCATTTCACCTTATTGACCAGGCTGGGGTAACTATACCTTTAAGATTTTGAAAAACTACCAACTGTTTGCCAAAGCAGTTGTACAATTTTACATTTCCAAATCTTTTACCCATTTTAACAGTTGAGTTGTCTCTTCAGTTATTAGAGAGTTTTAGATTCTTGATTAACTATTTATTAGATAAATGATTACAAATACTTTCTCTCATTCTGTGGGTTGTCTTTCTTTGAAACCCAAATATTTTTCATGTTGATGATGTCCAGTTCATCTTTCTGATATATAATAAAGAATTAGTTTCACTACCATGGAAGTCCCCTATGGTTTATCTATGTCCTTCCCTTCACATCTGCAAAACCCTAGCAACTACCCATCTTCTGGACTATTTTACCTTTTCAAAAATGTTGGAAATATGTAGCAAGTAGCTTTTCAGACTGGCTTCTTTCACTTAGAAATTTGCTTCTATGATTTCTCTATTAAAAAAATTTTTTTTCACGTCTTATTTCTTTTTATTGCTGAACAGCAAGCACAGTTTGCTTATCAATTCAGCTACTGATGGACAGCTTGGTTGACTCCAAGTTCTGGCAATTATGAAAAAGGCTGCTATAGACGTGCAGGTTTTGTACAGCCAAAATTTTCAATTTATTTGAGTATTTCTCAAGAAGCACAATGGCTGGATCACATGGCCCAAAGTGACCACACAGTTCTGCATTCTCATCAGCAATAAATGGTAAGTCCTGTTGCCCTACATCCTCACCAGCATTTGATGTTTCAGTTTTGAGTTTTAGCCATTCTAATAGGTAATGTTTGTTGTTGTTTTAATTTGCAGTTCCCTAATGACATATGATGCTGAGCATCTTTTTATATCTTTGTATGCCATTCACCATCTGTGTATCTTCTTTGGTAAAATATCTGCTCATATGTTTTTTTCATTTTAAAATTGAATTGTTTGGCATTTTTGTTTTACTTTTTTTTTGTGTTTAAGTGTTTTGCATGTGTTTGGCTGCCAGTCCTTTATCACGTTTTTGCAAATATTGTCTTCCAGTCAGTGGTTTGTTTTCTCATTCTCTTAACAGTGTCCTTCACAGAGCAGAAGTTTTCTAATACACCTAGATTTTATTTTATGTTATCTTTTACAAATTTTATAGTCTCACCTCTAACATTTAGGTCTATGATCTCTGAGTTATGTTTTGTGAAAGTTACAAGGTAAGTATCTTAGTTATTTTCTTTGTATAAGGATGTCAAACTGTTCCATTAACTATCCTTTATTTATTGAACTATCTTGGATTCTTTGCCAAAGATAAATTGACTATGTTTGTGTGAGTGGATCTATTTTGGGATTTCCTATTCTTTCCTACTGCTTATTTTTTGGCAAGTGTATTATTTTGCCAATATCATGCTGTATTGGTATTGGTAAGAAACCATTTTATAACTGTAACTTTATTTTTTTTTATTTTGCATGTTTTTTTTTATTATTGCATTTTAGGTCTTGGGGTACATGTGAAGAAGGTACAAGATAGTTGCATAGGTACACACGTGGCAGTGTAATTTGCTGCCTTCCTCCCCTTCACCTATATCTGGCATTTCTCCCCATGCTATCCCTCCCCAACTCCCCACCCCCTGCTGTCCCTCCCCTATTTCCCCCCAACAGACCCCAGAGTGTAGTGCTCCCCTCCCTGTGTCCATGTGTTCTCATTGTTCAACACCCGCCTATGAGTGAGAACATGCGGTGTTTGCTTTTCTGTTCTTGTGTCAGTTTGCTGAAGTAGGTCTTAAAATTAGCTAATGTCAATATTCCAAATTTGTCCTTCCTTTCCAGTAGTGTGTTGGCCATTTTAATGTCCTTTGCCTTTCCCTATAAACATTATAATCAATTTGTTGATTAGCTGCGTGTTATGTTACTAGGAGTGAAATTGTGGTGAATCTAGAGATCAAGTAGCAGAGAATTTACATCTTAACAATATTGAGTCTTCTACATATATATGAGGATGAAATAACTCTTCATTTACTTGGATCTTTTAACATTTTCTTTAGTTTTGCAATTTTCCTCGTATAAGTACTGTACGTATTTTGTTACATTTGTAAATAATTTGGTTTGTTGGTTATGCCAATAGTATTGTTTTTAAT